TCACAGTGATCTGTCTGCCTCAGCCTCCACAGTGCTGGATTATAGGCGTGTAGTACCACACCCAGAATTTTTGTTTTTCTTTATTTTGAGAAAGGGTCTTGCTCGTGTAGTTCAAACTGGTCTTTGACTCAGTATGTAGCCCAGGCTGACCTCAAATTCTCTGTCTCCTGCCTCAACCTCCCAAATTCTGGAAGTAAAGACATGTACCACACCACCTCACCTGGTTCCAGAACTGTTCTTGTCACTCTAACAAATATCTCTCATCCACCCCTCATATGCTCTGAGCAAAATGAGGATTGGAGGAGGAAAGAAATCTGGGTTTATTTTAAATCTGGGATATGACAGAGGGGTTTCTCCCAGGTCAAACTAGGAGTGGTAGCTGTTGACTCACAGTTGATGGGGCTATCAGTTCCCCCCAGGCAGAGACCTGAGTCAGAGCACCCACGGTGCTTGCGGGTTCACAGGGCTGGCTCTGGTACTTCTCACTTCCTGCCTTAGAGGCAGGCACAGAGCAACCCCCGACGTCAGCAGGTTCTGCACCCGGATTCCTGCTCCATCCAACCAGGTTCCTGCTCTTCTGGAGCTCTCGCACCCCTGCAGCCCTACACTCTCCACAAATGTCTCTCCTTCTTTCTTTCTATGAGATCTAACTCCTGTTTATCACCCAACCACAGGAAAGGACAAATGGGGACCAAGACAAACCTACAGGTTCCTCAGGCCCCTTTTTCACCCAACTCTTCCCAATCTTTCTGGCACCCTTGCACGTTGAGAATATTGTATCTGTGTAGTTCCCTGAGGTAAGCAAAAGAGGCTTCTCTGACAGAAGCCACTAGCTTGACACTTCTGGCAGTCCTGTATCTTTCCAAGGTTCAAGGACTGAAGCCATCATTCTCTGTCTTGGTACAACTGTAACCCATTTGTGTTCACATCAACACACCTATTAGGAGGTTTTGTTTCATAGCAATCTCAGCCTAAGCACCTCTACCCAGCGAGGTTTTTTATGGGCCAAATAGGCCTGAGCATATTAAAGTCAGGGCACCAAGCCTTAGTGCTCTCAGTTAGAGGGGGAGTGATAATGTTTTTCAGGGTGCCGGAGACTCCTTCTGAAAGTGACTTTTAGACTTTCTGTCCTTAGCAGAGTTGGTCAAAACAAACACAAACAGTAGCAAAGTCTTATAAATGGTAGGAAAAGAAACAGGCACTGCAGAGCAACTCTGGGCCAAGTAAAGGTAGGAAAAGAAGTACACTCTACAACCTCAGGTGGGCTACCAGACAAGAGTGAACACAGTGGCAAAACCTCAATGTAGACTGTCCTTTTTGTATCACCAACTCCTGAGGCTGAGGGCAGGTCTAGCATCCTATCCTATTTGAGTTCTCAGGAGAAGCCCATGTGCAGGAACTATTCTACACATGTGTTCTGGGATCTCGTATTTAGCAGGAGATCCCAGCCAGGGATCTACTTTCCCAGCCAGGTCTCCTGTCTCAGGAGGGTGGCAGCTGAACTCAAGCCCATGTAGATCATCCATCAGGTGCACTCTGTATCTCCACTATTTAATCCCAAATCTAGTGGCTCTAAACCTAGCAATCTGGCAACCAAGAAGGCAAGGAGGAATCTCAGGCATCTGAGAATCTGAAAGAAGCCACTGAGTCTTGGCCTAAAGAAATCACATACATGCAGACAAAAATTTCAATCCAGCTGGGCCTGGTGACACACACTTGTAGTCCTGGCACTCCATAGGAGTACTGCCATGAGTTAAGGCCAGCCTGGAAGACACAGAGTTCGAAATCAGCCTCAACTATACACATAGCAAGAGACTGTCTCAATCAATTAATCAAAAGCTTTCTTCGGGGGCTAGTGAGATGGCTCAGTGGTCTAAAGCACCTACTTAGAACAAACTAAAAAGCACAGGGACTGCGGTTCAATCCCCCAGCACCACATGCCAGCCAGCCCCGCCCCCTGGTGGGCTGAGCTGGCCACACACACACACACACATAAATAAATAAAAAAAATTTTTTAAAAAAGCTTTCTTCGTTTCAGAAGACTAATGGATTGTATTTACAATCTTTGTCCTACCCTACTCTCAAGGACAGCAGCTAATAATGGGGAAAACAAAGGCTTTGGTATCATTGGGAATTGGCTTTGGATCACTCCTCTGCCCTTTCTTTCTGGGGTTTTTTGTTTGTTTGGTTGGTTGGTTTTTTTCTTTGTTTTTTCAGACCCTCGCACTTGCCAGGGAAGCGCTTGTTCTCCTGAGCCATCTCCCCGGCCCTTTCTGGGCTTTTTCTTTCTTCGTTTGTTTATTCGTTCGGTCTTTTTGAGACAGGGTCTTATTATACAGTTTAGGCTGGCCTTGAGCTCACTTTGTAGCCCAGGTTGGTCTCAAACTCACGATTCTCCTGCCTCAGCCTCCTGAGTGTTGTGATTACAGGCATGTGCCACCATGCCTGGCCTTCCTTTCTTTCTGTTGACATTGTTAGTCCTCTAGGCCTCAGATTCCTGATAGTAAAATAAGGATCATAATGTGTACAATGCTGGATAGTTGAGACCATTAAATAGGATAAGGCAGCTTAAAGGTCAAGTCCAGAGACAGACATATGTTAATTAAACTATTATTAAAACTTCCCATCCCTCTCTTGTGCTGCTGAAATGCAGTATGACTCCATGCTTTAGAATTTACGTCTGCATCCTAAATTCCTCTGTGGAAATTCACTCGTCTAATTCTACAGCTGCAGCCTCTAGACAGGCAGGCTGATGACAGCAGTAGCCTGGTGAGCGTCCTGGCCTTGTCCTTCACCCTATATGCCTGCATCCTGGAGCAGACTGTGATTAATAATAATCAGTCATCACAGAAAATCATTCCTACTGAGCAATGAAGGGACAGAGAGTACCAGAGAGGTCAGATCTGAGGGGGGGAAAAAAACAGAGACACTTAGAGGTACTCAGTCTGGGTCAAAGATAAGTTCACAAAGAAAAAGCTGAGAGGACTCAGAGAACATGGAGGGGCAGTGGGCTTAGAGGAGAGGGCACTGGGTTTGAAATCAAAACACTTAAGTTCTTGACTCACCACAACTGGCTAGCCACACAACCTTGGACAAGTCACTTCATCTCTCAAACCCATTTTCTCTTCTGAAGAAGACTGGATGGATAGCCTTTAGGACATTCGCTTTCAGCTGGTCTTTCTAAGTCAACCTGCAGGCCTAGAGGGCTTGCTGAAGAAATCCATCTAGGCCCAACTAGGCCCTAGGTTTTGGCCCAAGGGGAGGCAGGAGGTGTTAGGGCCACTGGAGAGGACTTATAAGGGCAGAGAGAACCAAAAGAGGAGGGCTAGTGAAGAGAGTAGAAAAGCCAGCCAGGGAATGACTAAGGGGCTCCTGGTATAAACAGAAGCAGGGAATGGACAGGGAGGGGGCCTGTTTGAGTTGGCCAAGGCTGGGGGTAGGGCAGGGGTAGGGGCCAGGCAGGACACTATGTCCCCTGTCCCCCATGAAGATTCCTAGGAGGAGCTGAGTCACATACCTCCCTCCCTTCATCCCTCCCCACCCCCGCCTCAGGCTCCAAATCCTGGGAAAGTAAGAGTGCCTTGGACAGAAACGAGAGAGCTTCATTCACATTACCAGTACTGTGCTGGGTTCTGCAGCATTTGGGCCTCAGATCTCCAAAACGGAGTTCCCAGGCCCTTGTTAAGAGTTTTCATGAGAGGTTACCTTTGGGCACTGCTGGACCTAAGATTCTGACCCAGAGATTCCTTGGGTTCCTTGACCGAGAAAGGGTCAGGACCCAAAGATGTGATAGTGGAGGCCAACATCATCCCACTGCCTGACCAGCCGCTCTCTTGCCTCTCCCTGGGACTACAGCTGGCTTTGGAAAGGGGCTTTGAAAAACTATCTAGGTGGTACTGGACACAAGTAGAGTAACAGAATGAGGGAAAACTCATAGCAGGGGGGAAAGCCCATGGTGACTCCAGGACTTTCATTCAGAGAGCCCCCAGACCAGAGCAAGGCAGAAGACAGGGGCTCTTAGGGGCGGGAGGCAGGGTTTGTCTCTGAGGAGGGTATTTTTCTGGAAAGGCAGTTCTGGGGGTGAAAGGCCGGGGTGGGGGGTGGGGGGATGGAACAGAAAGGAGATTAGAAGAGAATCTAGCCCCCTTGTTTCCCTCCTGCAGGCTAAGATAAAGACTGAAATCCTGAAGGGTGATATCACAGAGCCAGAACTGAGGAAGGGATGGGTAAGGAGCCATTGCCTCTCCTTACTGCAGTTTTTTCCTTTACTTCCACCGGGACCTGGAGAGAGTGGAATCCTCTATTCTAGCTCCCAGAGTTTAGAGCCAATAGAAGCTGAAATTTGGATCCCTTTACAAGGCACTGCCACCACCCTTCACAACTCTCCAGGCTCCTAGGCATCAGACCTGTGTCATCAAGGTACTTGTGGGGCCAACCACATCCAGGTTCTTGGTCAACTGCCAGATCCAAGAAAAGCTGAGAAGAGGTTTCCATGCCCTGCTACCAAGAAAGGAAGAACTGGGACAGAAGACTGCTAGAGAGCGACCCCAGACTCCTGGGTTTCCAAGGCTAACAGCCTGGTAGAGGGGGAGGGCAGCAGCGAGACTCCAGCAGCGTGTGTAGATCCTGTCAGGCTGCCCGGGAGCGCCTTGTACCTCGACTGCTGCATCCCAAATCCAGCTGGCCACAACCCAGGAACCCAGTGGCCCCGGAAGGCAAGGGGGAATCCCACTCGGCTTGAAGCCAGAGGAGTCTCCAGTCTCTTTAGACCCCAAAGTCTTCCCTGAAGAAGTGAAGGAGACCCCACACATCATGCAGGGGCTCCCTCTGCCCTCCTTCAGAGGTGATTCCTTTCCTCATTAGGAAATTCTCCGCTCCCTTTTTCCGACTCCTTCTCCGAGCGTTTACTTTGTACATCTGGAAAGGAGGGGAGGGAAGAGGGGAAGCGGGGAGGAGGGGGAAGAGCCCAAGCCCGCCCAGTCTGACCCAGGCCAGACAAACGGCCTCCAGCTGGGGCTGAGGAAAGGGGGTGGAGAGGTGCGGCCCCCCCACGCCCCTCTGGGGTGGGGGGCGCGGGCTCCGAGCTCCGAGGACCCCGGAATGCCCCCCCGCCAGCCCCCTCGGCCGGCGGGGGGAGGGCCCAGCCGGGAGTTTGGCAAACTCCTCCCCGCGTTGAGTCATTCGCCTCTGGGAGGTTTAGGAAGCGGCTCCGGGTCGGTGGCCCCAGGACAGGGAAGAGCGGGCGCTATGGGGAGCCGGACGCCAGGGTCCCCTCTCCGCGCCCCGCAGCCGCGCTGGGGCGCCCGGCGCCGCCCCGCACTGCCTCGGCTGCTGCCGCTGCTCCTGCTGCTCCTGCCGCCGCCGCCGCCCGGGGTCGGGGGCTTCAACTTAGACTCAGAGGCCCCAGCAGTGCTCTCCGGGCCCCTGGGATCCTTCTTCGGCTACTCGGTGGAGTTCTACCGGCCGGGAACCGACGGGTGAGTGGCCGGGGTCAGCGGCGCGGTGGGGGCAGGGAGCCGCCTGGGGGCGCGGCCGGGGTACTGGGGGCCGGGGGCTGGAGGTGGGGGGCGGAGCCTGCAAGGACCGGGGCTGCGGCGTCGGCTGCCCGCCCGGGAGCGCGGCTGGACCGTGGCGGCGTGGAAAGGGGCCTGGAGTGCGAGGGCGGCCGGGGCCAGGAGACGCGTGTGGAGCAGCAGAGGACACGAAGCCAGAAGTCTGACCAGGGCTTTCGGGGCCGAGGGGAGGAGAGTGCAGGAATGGGAGCTGAGGATTTCGGGCCGAGATCCGTGGGCTACCGGGAACCGGAGGCGGGTGGGGTCGGCGGGCAGGGTCCCTGAGGGTCATGGAGTCCAGGAAGAGCTTTGGGGACACGGGGACCTCGGGATCTCCGGGGCGATTGTGCACAGAAGAAACAGGTCGGAGCTGGAGCAGTTTTGTGTAGTAAGAGGGGAGACAGACTGAGGGGGTCGGAGGTTAAATGGGGACCGGCCTCTTCCTCCCCTCCCCCCTCAATTCAGGCTGGGAAAGACCTGGAAGGGGAACGGCTGTTCCCTCCCTTTTCTCCTCAGTCTTCAGCTCCGCCTTCTACCCTCAATCTGTTCAGATCAGGGGACCTAAGAACTCGGGGAGAGTCGCAGGACCCTGGAATTGGGGGCGCTGGAGCTGGGGGTGGGCTCAGCCAAGGAGGATGTGCGCGCGTGTGTGAGGGGGGTGGGTAGTTTCCCTCTTCCCCTAGCTCTTGGGAGGAAGAGAAAAGCCGATTTCCTGTAGCTGGGGTTGAACTGAAACGGAGACTTCTGGGGCCGGGGTCGGGTCGAAAGCTGGGGAGACTCGGGGTCTCGGGTCCAAGAACCATCCGAAGGAAGAAACCAATGATTCTGAAAGCCTGAGAGGAGGATCCTTATTCCCAGCTCAGCAGAGTGACAAGCACACTAACCCTAATGCCTGGAAAGTGGGGTACCCACACAGCTTTGGGGAAACCAGATACAACCAAGGCCACATTAGAACAAGGGTATTTAAGTATCAGGAGGTTGGGAAGTAGGAAGGGAAGGCGACCACTCTGGAGCTGGGGCAGAGACCCTGAAAAGCTACATTACTGACTGGTCTCCAAGACTACCTGGAGTACTACCTGCTCCGAGTGGCAGAGCTTCCCACTGTTCCCCTCAACCACCCCACCCTCCAGCACCTCAAGGTTTAGAAGGAGCCCTGTCAGAGGTGAGCTGTTTTTATACATGAAAGTTAACTGCTGTCTATCCATTCACTTTCATTTTTTGAGAAAAGCTGTTAATGTAGTTAATTGAATCGGGGAAGTGGACAAATACCTACTTTGTCCAGGGGAAGAGGACAGATGTCTACTCTGTCCAGGGGACTTGGAGATGGGGAGGGGGGATGGTGAGGCCCCAGCTGTTGGAGCTAGGCTTTTCAAGGTCCCCACCCAACCCCCACTCCACCCCCCTGGCCTCTTGCCCAAACCCCATTGCATCAGTCTGGCCTGGAGCCTCAGCCAGGCTTTACCTTCCCCAAGCCCCCTCAAACTCATTAACACAGCCCTATGGAGCAAAGAGCAGAGAGGGTATAGATGGGGGTCCCCTCCCTACCCCCACTCAGCATATCCAGTTATCTGGCTTTTAACCTCCCCTCCCTCTCCTCAATGTGTCATTTCCCTTTTAAAACACACCCCTGAAACATCTGCACTTTCACATACTCCTGGTCCCCTAGGTGTCTGGCTGGCCCCTGGGCTGATCCTACCATTGCTGGAGCCCTCTTCTAAAACAGGACCCAGTGTTCTCATCCTTTTCTCTTTCTCTTCTCCCTTCCTGAGGAGCCCGGGTGCCCACCTTCCTCTCTCCACTCTTCTAGCCTCTGTGCAATACCCTCTTAGAACTGCACTCCCAGCATTCTGGCCCCAAGCTACCCTCCCTCCCACCACAGCTGGGCCTTCTACCCCCTCCCTGCCACTTGAGAGAGCACAGCTTTCCTGGGGGGCCACAGGGGGTGAGGTCTCCTGCAGCGCATCACCTCTCTGGTGAAGAGCAAAGCAGCACCCGAGGATGGGGGCAGCACCACAGAGGTTGCAAAGCCCCACTTAACAACAGACCTATGCTGGGACCTTTTCTTCCCATGAATCTCAGACACTTAGTATTCTAAGACTAAATGATACAATGTATAGAAAATGCACCTGTATACAGAGGACAGCATACATGGGAGCCACGTGTTGTATGGGCTTTTCCTCCCTGGCTACCCCCTCATTCATTAAGTTTTCTCCCATTTCTTACCTGCTGTTAGAACACACATTCTTGTAATCCTGATAGTAATAATAGTCCTCACATTCCTTGAGCACTTCTCTTTCAATTTCTCTATTAGATTTTTACAAAAATCCCTGTGTTAAGGCTAGGTGAGATGATGCACACCTATAGTCCCAGTACTTGAAAGGCAGAGACAGGAGGGGCTGAGGCAGGAGGATTGCTGCCAGTTTGAGGCCAGCCTTGGCTACAAAGTGAGTTCAAAGCCAATCTGAACTGTTTAGCAAAACCTTGTCTCAAAAAGACAAACACTTCAGGATCATAGAACTTTAGAGATAGAAGTTAGTTTAGGAACCATTCAAGGGCAACTCATCATTTATGAGTAGAGACTCTACAGCTTGAAGAGAAGGAACTTGGCCCTGGACACTCTTAGCCCCGCTCTTTGAGCAGCTGGAGAGGTACCTCTACCTCCTCCCCAGGCATATGTCTTGTGAATGTACTTGGGGTTCCAGAAGCAAGTGTGCCCCTCTGGCCTAGCCAGGCCTGCTGTAAAAGCTGGGTCCTGGTCCACTTTCTCCTCTCCACCTCGACCTGTAAGGCCAAGAGTCAAACAGTAACTGAATATTGAACAGTGACTTGGTTAATCAGAAGCCTGGCTGGGGAGATAATGGAGAGGAGAAAGAACTTGCCGATGAGGTCGACCAGAAACCTGGCCTGGGAACCAGGATCTGCTCTCTGATTTTTATGCTGGGAAGGATATTTTCACCCTGGACGTGTTATTTACCTTCTCTGGAACTTAATTTTTCCTTTGGTCAGATGAGGATATAAGACTAGGTAGATGTATCAGGACCAAGCTGGCCTTCCTAACCGCATGTGGCAACTCGGGGGTGTCTGCATTAGTCTGAAAAGCAGTAGTCGGTATCTCCAAGGTTCAGCTCTAGAATCTCAGGATTCTGAGGCTTCAAAATAAATTACAGGGGCCGGGGAGATGGCTCAGTAGAATAAGTGCTTCCCTAGCAAGCGCAAGGGCCTGAGTTCAATACCCGTTTCTGCCAATAAATAAATAAATAAATAAATAACAGCAGCTGAGCCATGCATGGTTGGGGCATACCTATAATCCCAGCACTCAGGAGGCTGAGGCAGGTGGATCCTTGTGAGTTCAAGACCAGCCTGGAGCTTGGGGCCGGGGAGATGGCTCAGTGGAATAAGCGCTTCCCTGGCAAGCGCAAGGGCCTGAGTTCAATCCCTGATTGCACCAAAAAGAAAGAAAAGACCAGCCTGGACTGCAAAGTGAGCTCAAGGCCAGCCTGAACTGCATTGCAAGACCCTGTCTCAAAAAGACAAAAAAAATTTTTTTTAATAAATTACAGCAATTACTTCTTCTGTTGGACTCTGTTTTGGAAGATTTTAGTTGCTAAACTGCCTTTCTTAGGAAATAATTAATTGCCTTTCTCATTTTTTTATAAACCAAAAACATCTATAGCTGCCAATCAGTTTCTGACAAGCATGAGATAACCCCATTCCCCACATGAATTGATATAATTCCAGCCAAAAGCAAACACACTTCAAGTTTAAATTAGCTTGGGCTGCCTTATCAGCTAAATGCATGATTTCCTCTTGGCTTTCTGAAATATTGAAAATAGCCCAAGGACCCTCCTTTGTCATTTTTCTGGGACCCCTAAGTCCCAATTGCTGCAAGACTTAGGAAGCAGGAACTAGGAATGAGAAAATAAGAACAAGCTAGTTTGTGGTTCACCCTGGGCACCAAGTGTCTCATTTGGCATGTGGTGGGCCACTGTGTATTGGATTGACTAGGGCCTGCGGGGTAGAAGGGCTTCTGAAGCCCCAGGCAGTAGGGCCAAGGTCCCGGCCAGCATCTGGATCTGAATCTCCGGCCCACGTGCAGGTATCCTGAATCTTTGCCCAGGTTGCCCGGCCCATGGGCCTGTAGGCTTTGGAAGCTTTATAAGGTCTCTCCTGTCACCTTCCAATCCTGCTAAATTCCAAGCTTGCTCCTCAAGCCATCCCAGGCACTCAGCCCCTCCCCAACAGCAGGGGTTGTCAGAGAAGTTGAGAGTGGGAACAGGGTCCCTGGGTCTGTCTAGACCAGAGACTTGAAGATTACCCAGAGAGTGAGAGAATGAGGCTGAGTGAGGGAGAAGGTATTGCCCAAATCCACTCTGAGTTAGGGGCTCAACCCAAACTCCTGGCTCTTTTGGTCCAGTGGTTGGCAGCTGACAGCTTTTCTGCTTTCTAGAGCCTGAGGGCAGCAGCTGCCTTCCCTGGGCATCCCTCCTGCCAAGGGAGGGGTACACCTCCTCTCTCGTCACTCAGCCCTGAGGCTCTGCACCCTCCTCACCAGCTTCACCTACTGGGTTCAGCAGCTAACCAGGTCACTGTGCCTTTGCTTGGCCAGCTCCCACCCCTCAGCTGCATGTAATCCTGAGTGGGAGGGGTGGGCCCAGCGGGTGGGAGACAAATGGAGAAGTGTGAGGTTGGAAACAGACAGGAAGCCACAGGCAGTAAACATTTCCTGTCCCCAGGGTAACCAAAGCTGGCACCTCCCCTCTCCACCCCCCATCACTTCAGGAACTCTCCTTGTGCCTGGCTGATTGCATTCCTCTAGAGGCTAGACCCTGCTTTCTGCCTCTTCTCCTGGCCCTCATGGGTCCCAACCCCCACACATACCCTACTTCAGTTCAGTGAGCCTGTCCTCTAGGGTACTTCCATCCCTCTTCCTCCTGAAAGGTACCTCACTCACTCAGCCTTTATGACCATTACCATAACCACCCCCTTGGCCCTCTTTCCTAGTGAGCAAGGTTGAGGAAGGTCCACTAGGATGAGGGAAGGGGTGGGTATTGGGAATGTTGAAAAGTGAAAAGGAACAGAAACTAATAGAGAAACCCAAGGTCTGAGGTCAAGAGAGAAAGAAAGGACCCAAAACTGCACCAAGAAAGCAAACACTCAGGGGCAGAAGAACTGAGAGCCTGAGGATTTGTACCAGAGGCAGACACAGGAGGAAAGCAGAGGGTGAGGCTGGCAGGGTAGGTTGCCCAGGCTGCCAGATGCAGTCCTCACGGGAGGCCCTGGAGGACAGTGCCAGGGAGCTGGGGGCTACATGGAAGCCTTGGAGGCAAGGACCCAGGAGTGATAGAGGCAGCACTGAAGTCAGGAAGACTGCCCGGATCTTAGCTATGACTGCCCATACGCATACCCACACAGGGCTCCAGCAGAGGCAGATTTCCCTGGGCAGGGAACTGAGCTACTCTCTAGAAAGAGGACCTCACGAGAACAGGATTTAAATTCAGTCTTCTGCACTAGTGTATGGAAAGGGGTTCCAGAGCTGAGCCCCAGACCTAGCCAGGAAGGTGAGGACCACTGCGAGGACCTCTGCAAGGCCCCAGGGCGAGGTAGGTCCAGGCCCAGGGAATTAGTGTGCCTGCCTCTCTGTCCTCTGCTTCTCTTGCTTGATTTCCAAGACTCACATTTTCCTCCTACACGCCCCAAAGCTGAGCAGCAGGCAGCCGAAGGCCTAGGTCTTGGCTCAGGGGAAGGATTTGTCTTAGGAGGGGAGGGCACGGGGTAGGTGACAGAGGAGCCTGGAGTTCCAGGGACTGTGCATCCAAATTGTACCCCCGCTTATGGGGTGTGGGTGCGTGTGTGTGTGTTACAGAGACTCAAGCTCCTCAGGAGTGGTTTACCACAGAGCTGTGTCCCAGCCCTTTTATTTATTTTGAGATTGGGGTCTCTCTGAGTTGCCCAGACTGGGTTTGAATTTGCAGTCCTCCTGCCCCAGCCACCCAAGAAGCTAGGATTATAGGCATGTACCACCACACCCAGCTTTAAATTGTTCCCTAAATAAAACAGCTGCATGTGGCGGTGCATGCCTGTATTCCCAGCACTCAGCACTCAGCTCTCAGGAGGCCGAGGCAGGAGGAGTACTGTGAGTTCAAGGCAAGCCCAAATTATGTACTAAGACCATGTCTCAGAAAAACAGAAACAGGGGCTGGAGAGATGGCTCAGTGGTCTAAAGCACCTACTTGAAACAAGCTTGGCAAAGCACAGGGACCGCGGTTCGATCCCCAGCACCACATGCCAGCCAGACCCGCCCCCTGGTGGGCTGAGCTGGCCACACACACACACACAATAAATAAATAAATAAAAATAATAAATATTTTTTAAAAAAAGTCTATAAAAAAAAAAAAAAGAAAAACAGAAACAGGCCAGGCGTGGTGGTGCACCCTTGTAATCCCAGCATTCAGGAGGCTGAAGCAGGAGGATCATTGCAAATTCATAGCAAGACCCTGCCTCAAAAACACAAAAAATAAAGTTCCTGATTCACTTTCTTATCATAGGCCACATATTCCATTTGATTGTTATATATTCTTTTTTTCTCTCATGCTAGTAATCAAACTCAAAACCCAGCTCCTCATGTATGCTGAGCACACTCTACTCTCAGCCAGGGTCTGCATCTAATCTTGGCAGGTAGACCGAGGAAATGGAGAAGCTGGGGGCTGGCCCCTTTGGTCCCTTCTCCCCTCCCAGGAATTGACTCTGGTTCTTCCTATAAACAGGGGATGGTAGGAGAGGGGAGGACGTTGGGGGGGCCGTTAGTGACAGCAGCACATGGGGACTGCCTGACTCCAACAGGGCCTCTGGCATCTGTGGCATCTTCTGAGATAAAAATACAATGGGGAGGGGGATATCCCTCCCACCCTGATGCAGCCTGGCCCAGAAGCCTGAGTCCTCCTGCCTCTAGAGACCAACCCAGAACTAGGAGCCACCCTAAACTGCCTCTCCCTGTCGTCCACAGGGTCAGCGTGCTGGTGGGAGCACCCAAGGCCAACACCAGTCAGCCAGGAGTGTTACAGGGCGGTGCTGTCTATTTCTGTCCTTGGGGCACCAGCCCGGGACAGTGCCAGCCCATCGAATTTGACAGCAAAGGTAGGCTTGGCGAGTTCTGGGAGCGGGGGATGTGGTGGGACCACAGCTGGGGGTGGGGTCTGCAGCGAGGAGCCGCCCACGGCAGGCTGCCCGAGCAGTGGCTCCCTGTGGCACTCATTCCACGTTCCCAGCCCAGCCCAGCCCAAGGAGGGCGGGCATGATTCAGAAACATGTGGCTCTCATTTCCACTGAATCACCCACAGTTCGGGGAGGCCAGGGCTGCAATACAAAGACGGGAGAGTCTCACACACTACTCAGTTCCTTTTATTAAGCACTGAGTGATAGTGTAGTCCAGGCACTGTACTGCAGTTCTGCTGCAAGCTTAGACAGTGACTCAGCCCCTGCCCTCAAGGAGCTGAAAGTCCCAAATTGCAGAAGTACGGCAGGGAACTGCAGCTCCACTCAAGAGCACTTGCTGCGCTGGCATGAGCGCTCCACGTACCTTAGCCTGCTTCATCCTTTTAACAACCAGCTTACCAGGGAGGAAAGAGGTTAGATCTCTTGCCCAAGGTCAGTCACAGAGTGAGGCCCTCTGCCTCTCCAGAGTTAAAGGTGCTAAGAGGACAAGCGGAGGAGAACGCAGAGTAGCACAGGGCTTGCCTATCGACTGTGAGGCCCTGGTTTCATTCCTGGAAGGAAAAAAAAAGAGAAAAAGAGACCGAGCATTACAAAGGGAGTGTGGTGGGCTGAGGAGATAGCTCAGCAGCATAAGCACCTGCCTGGCAAACACAAGGTCTTGAGTTCGATCCCCAGTACCGCCAAAAAAAAAAAAAGAAAGGAGATGAAGGGAGGGAAGGGGAAATGAGAAGAAAAAAGAAGCAAGATGTATTATGTAGAGGTACAAATTCCCTATGGTGAATACGATCATTATGTATATCTAAAACATACCAATAAAAAAGGGCTGGGAAATAGCTTACTCCAAAGACTCTGGGTTCAATTTCCAGTACTGCCAAAAAGAGAAGGAAAAAATCAAAAGAATCATGCAGCATAGCTGGACAAGGTGGCACACACCTGTAATCCCAGCACTCTGGGATCCTGAAGCAGGAGGATCACAAGTTCAAGCCCGGAGGCTGGGGAGATGGCTCAGTAGAATAAGCACTTGCCTGGCAAGCACAAGGTCCTGAGTTCAATCCCCGGTAAAGAATATGTAAGTTCAAGCCCAACCTGGGCAATTTAGACTCTGCTTCAAAATAGAAACAATGGAGGGGCTGCTTAGGCAGAGCATAGCCAGGGTTCAATCCCTGACATGGCATACCATGCCGGCCCCACCCCCAGGGCGCACTTGAGACAGCAGTTGAGACTGGGCATGGTCGCATACATGTGTATTCCCAGTGCTTGGGAGGCTGAAAACAGGAGAATCACTATGAGTCCAATCTACATAGTGAGACCCTGTAGACTCTGTACTGAATACATAAAGAAAAAAAGAAAGAAACAAACAAAGGAGGGGCTGGTGAGATGGCTCAGTGGTCTAAAGCACCTACTTAGAACAAGCTTAGCAAAGCACAGGGACCATGGTTCAATCCCCCAGCACCACATGCCAGCCAGCCCCGCCCCCTGGTGGGCTGAGCTGGCCACACACACA